TAATACCCCAATCTTGAAGGAGGTCGATTTGTTTTGTTCTGTTCTTTTTACTTAGCTCCGTATCATGAGAACGTGTAAGAGGAGTTAAGATGTCTCAGCTCATTTTTATGTGAGCTTCAAGATTTTTTCCGCTGTATCTGGTGAAGAGTAAGCACATTCTCCCCATATTCATGACATGACATGACGAAGAGAGAACTTTGTACTTCCTGAGAAATGAGCATCAGTCGCCCAATCAATAGACAGTCAATTTATTTATTAATAATGACAACAAACGGAGACGAGATTTTCTTCCAAGCACTAATACATTCGTTTATCTTTCTGTTCAGGTTTGGTCACACCTGGTACAGATAAACCCTAAAAAACCTTAAAATGTTTCGGCTGTGTACTCTCTCTCTTCCACCCCCTTTGCAACCCCGCCAATTGCTGCTGGCATTTTTTAATTAAATTTCTAGATGAACCTAAGTTCCTTCACTAATGTTCCTCTAATGTATTTTTAATTTAATTTATTTGCTTGAGAACTTTTTTTTACAGTTTTGTAAAAGTGTTGTCTTTCTTGTTTTGGCTTCTGGATGAATCTGGTCTAATGCATCCCTTAAAAACAAACTCTGAGTCTCGTGATTAATGAAGAATGTTGTTTAAGGTTGTAATTTACGGGGGTTTATGATGGCTATAATAATTATGTCGGAACAACATTTATATTGGTTCTTACATGCCATGGCACTATGACGTTACTCAAGTATTAATGAGGCCTTGGTTTATTTAGCCCTGTGGGTCTGCTTCGGCAGTTTGTATGAAAACTAGTTTGGGTATTTATTTTCTAGTATGAATTTTCTGTTCATTAAACTGTGACACACGAGGATGTACACATAGTACAAATTAAACTAAGTTTAAATTGATAGAGTCAGTTAAAGACAATTAATTACGAGAGCTGCGTACGGTCATTAGAATCTTTACACAAATTCCTGGCGAGTGTTAAACTTCGTTTGCTATTCTTTAAGAAAAAAATAATTAGAAAAATGAGAATTAAAATCTTTAATGGTTCATTATTGTTTTGGTTTATTTTGTTTTGGACTAGGAAGATGCATACAAAATTTCAGTCAGAGACTTAGGTGACATACTTGTAGATAGGAAGACAATATTAAAATTGATTATAAATAAATATTGTGTGGACTGAATTGATGTGGGATCCGTCGGCTGGTTCTAGTGAGCACGGGAATATTACTTATTATACAGTAAAAGATTCGATTAATTGGCCAGTTTATGACTATCAACTTCTCAAGGATGACTCTATTTCGTGGATTTAGTTCTGTAAGTATAAATTTGTGACAATCAACGTCCCTGTTTAAAAAAAGGTGTTATTCTCATAAAATGATTCGAGTAGGTGAGCAGGTACACTATCCTTAATTAAAATATTGTTTATTCAAACTGAAAAACAGATTAGTTATACCCTAATTTACAACGTATTTATGTCCCTAGAAAAGTGTGGCATGGCAAAAACGTAAAAATCAAAAACTTCTTCAGTAATTTCAGCATTAAGAATTTTGGTTGGCCTACTTGTATTGCAACCAAGCCGAATTCTTATGTGGCAAGAAACAGAATATTTACATAATAGAATGTGTTGCTATGCGATGTCACCATGCCGTATTAGCCAGGCACACCAGCGCCCTCACATTCTGGCCTTTGTCGGGATATACCTGGTAAAATATATAACGACATACTTTAATGTTAGGCCGTGTGAAACTGTTTTATTTAAAGGTTTCTTTTTTTTGTGTGTCTTTAAAAATAGCATTTAACAACACAGACAAGACATTTAAACGTGTTCGATAGTTTGATTAATTAACAAGTTTGAAGTTGATTGAAATATGCATGACTGTGAATTCATGAAACTAACCAGTAAACAAATATAAATCTAATCGTAACTGATTGTGGTGTCAATTTCTTGACACTAAATATCGTCGTTTTACCACAATAAATCAGCTGTCCTGGAAAAATTAGTTGCTTATTCTCGGCCGTAAATATCGCCATGACTCGGTCACGAAGCCTCGTTCATGGGAATAGGATGCACCACGTAACGTGTTTGTTAGGGATGTTTGCATTGTTCATCTTAACATCCGATTTCATTGTTTAAAGATTGCTTTAGATAATGAGTTAACGTTAAAATATGACATATATTTACATGGACTGTGTAATTAACTGATGTGTTTTTCGCATGCACGAAAATCTCAAGATGTCCAACCTCCGAAATGAGTCGAAGTATGGCGCAGAAGAATCTGCGAAAAAGAGTTAAGACTCCCTACTTCTTGATTTAATTTGATTTATTTAACAATATCGTAGCGTCGGATGTCGCCTCATTTACTCCGTATTCGTTAACGAATTCCGAGACTAAAGCGAAGGAAAGTTTTTGCCCGTTTTATTTCTTTAAAATACACTATAAATAACTTCTTTGGTGGTACGCGTATAAATTTCCATCTTGTTGAACCGTGACATGTTTTAATTCCATTAGATGTAACCATGACAACAGATAAAAGACCTTGGAACGAGGATAGTATTTCAAGGACTAACAAATGAAAGGAAAATTTGGAAATGGTCGCCTACCATGCTGACTGACCTTTGGCAATAATTATTCTTTACTGGGCGAGAATAAACAAAATGGTCGAAACAAAATAGAATCGCGCCGCGTCCAACGCCTTCGACAATCAATTTATCGAGAAAGAGGCTTTTCTTCTGCGTCGTCAGAGCAGAACCAAGATAACAAGAGGACCGTGGCGAGAAATTCGCTTTGATGATGTTTTAAAGACGTAGTTCGGGAAGGCGTAAAATTTGGAATTATACGAATATATAAAACTGTGGGCGGCAGATCCTTAGTTTGAACGGCTATTCATATGATCACTGTGTTGATTGTTTTGTAAATAAAAAGTAATATCTTCAAGTGCTCATTTACTGCATTTCATGGGGACCGTGTTTTTTTTTGTTTTGTTTACAAGTCGATAAAAAGATGTAACTAACTCCGTGTGCATAGCCTTTCTTGAAAAATTGGATAGTTTCACAGGTGGTCTAGAAATTCCATACTTTTATGGGACCCTGAGGTTCATGATCGTGTTTACAAAAGCTTGTCACTGGACCCTGTCACGAACCATTATAATACAGTCAGTACTCACGCATCGTTTGCACGCTACATGCTTCACCCATCTTTATACCATGACATTTGCTAGGCAATAAATTGGTTTGTAATCGTAATCGAGAACATGAAATCTTAAAACATATATTATTTGAATTACTTTATTAAAATAGGTTATGTAAAGCATTACATTACATATTTGGATCAGCAGATGGGGAGGCAAACAGGTTCGTCCTCATTTCGATGGGTCCATTTTTTCAGTTTTCGCAAAAAAAATAAATAATGAAAATAATTGGCGTGGTTATTATGTATTGCGGTGCTAATTAAACACAAACTTCGGGCTGTGTTTTGACTACGCCTAAAAACCTATAACCACCTATTTCAAAAGGTGCGCTGCATTCTACTTGTTCGGTTGTGTACTTTATCAAGTTATTTTAGTATCCGGTTAGGAGTAAAACAGGCATACAGATGTTGGTCTGAAAGAGTCAACAAGGCCATTTAATGACGGAACTGTGACGATTATTTTTAGATTAACGACCTTTCATGCAAAATAACCGGTTTTTAATAAAATACAAAATAACATCGCAAATAAACTCATGAAATCAGGAATTTAAACTGTTTAATCGAAGTCTCAAAGAGGCCGTTCTTTACATTGGCTTCATGGTTTTACTACTGTAGATGTAGGTAATTGTGGTCAGCATTTCAAAACCAATGAGACTGGTTATAAAGTCAAAAATTTAGGACCGAAATGTATAGTCACTGAACATGAGATACGTTCCAGTCTTGCGGCAGATCGCCTTCACTTGTGAAACCGGTTTTGGATGTGAAATCTTGGACTTGTCGACACGTACTACCAGAAGGCGAAATATTGATATATCATTCAGAAAAATGTAAATAAAATAATAAATCACCGACTTAGGTCGCTCAAACAATTGGCGTTGCAGTTCGAAATTTAACTGTAGCGTGGCTGTTTATATGCTTCAGTGCTGATGATTTTAAAGTTTTTTATTTGTTAAACCAGTACTATGTTCGGTATTTTCCACTCTGCAAGATAAATTAGGTTTTGTGTTCGATAACCACGTAGTTTTGGAAGTGTCTTTACCAACTTTTTCAGTTGACTTTTTGTTCGATTAGAGGCGACTGTTGGACTCGAACTTGGGACCTATCTTTTGAATACTAGGCTTGTGCGTTGACAATTAGATCAATTTAATGGACCAGGCATGGTTGTTAGTAGAGAGATAGTCTATAGAAACAACCATAAGATTCCATATTCAATCCCACTTGTCGGCATTAACCTTTGAATAAAATAACAATAAAAATGTTTATTTAATTCTTCTGCACTGCACAGTGCTTTGCGAGTGTGAGATTCTTCACCTGTTATCCCCCACTCCTTTCCTTGCTAACTTCGATTATCCACGTGATCGACGTAATTGAATCTGCTATGATGGAGTCAAATACAATTAGTAAGTTACTCCAACCAAGCAGTCCAACCTCTTGATTTAATATTAGTTTATAGAAATTGCATGTGGATATCTGTAGAGAGTGTATCGACGAGGAAACAGCCAATTTTTTTTTTTTTGCGAAAACTGAGTAAAGTTGACCCTACTAACAGTAAACGCGAATTTCACATCTGTGTATATTCTGACCCATTGCAATTCCTGCTTTACATGAAACTGAAATTGAATTTACACATTTTTAAAAGTAGATGGTTGCACAAAGGAAATGCATGTAACTAAATGTAGATCTTATTATGATCTGCCTGCAGCCGAAATTCGAGTTGACTACCTAAACGTCGACAACAGAAAAGCTACACTAAATGTTCAATACCTTTACTTAAGGATGAGAAATGTTTTACAAACTGTGCATTATTTTCTTCTAACAGAATCCACCACATGGAGAAACTGACGCACGTGATTTGTTGCAACTAGCGCTTGACCGCATATGCGAGTTGCAGAGAAAGCTGATGCAGCGAGGCACTTGTGCCGCTGGAGGCCCAGTCGAAGAATTTACAGGTAGGACGTCTCCAAGAATACGTCCAACTTAGTTTAGTTCCAAAAGTTAGCCCTTAGCTGCATAAATATACACCTCACGTTTGTTATTTACAGAGTATGTGGTGCTAGAATTTTTGTTATGCATTCTCGCATAACGTATTAAGGTCTCTTATGCTGGTCTTCTTTCAAGTACGAGGTATGGGTATTCGGTGCTACTGCAAAGTATGCTGTGCATTAACCGACTAAGAGCCAGTTGGTGCTTTGATTGTAGTGGAGTACAGTCACGTTCAGAAAAAGAAGGTTCAGAACAAGGCAGAGAATGAAAGAAAAACAGAAAGAAAGAAAGAAATAAAGATAGAAGGTGCCTAGTATGAAATTAAGACTGATGTTTTCAACTAAGAGTGTGTAACTGTTGTGGATGACTGCATAACATAAAGATTTTAAGGCGCTTGGCATTTACTCTACATATTGCGTGGCTTAGAAAGATTATTTAAGATTGATTTATAAATTTAATCTGTACTCTGTCTAAACGATAACATACTTGATTTTCTGTTATAAGATATTGCAGATTCTAGCATAAACAATGTAATGTTTGTTGATCATCCGGTTAAAATGCAGTATATGTTATGTAATTTTGCCAGAGGATATTGTTGATAGTCGTGTACGTTTTTTCCGGTTGATCGATACGACCGTCAGCTGGACCTATTCGGGTTAATTGTATAATTTTTGTCCCCAACATAAAACGTGAAATCTCCATTTTACCAGTAATCGTGTGGAGGTGAATAAGAAAATGATCCCTGCTTATTCTAAGAAAGAAACAGAAGTTATCAATAAATGTTTTGGAGAGAAACGTAGGCTTAGTGATTATTGAGACGGGTTGTTGTGCATCTCTACGCTGTAAAAAGATAAGTATCACTGCTCTAAAATAAAACGCGTATGAAGAAGGTCTAGTTCTTACTGCATTTCGTTATAGAGGTGTCAGACAGTAGATCATCAATTACGGTTTACGCAATACATGTACGACATTTCGTGAGTTGCACCTGTCTTGTCAGCGAAATGTGTTGACAAGTTGTGGCCTGCAGCCTGTCTCTTAATTAACGCTGTGTAATACATATATATAAAGTAAATTATTACGTAGACTTCTCTTGACGAAGTTACGAGAGCCGCGATGGAGCACAATTTTCGCTTTAAGAAAATTTGTGATAAATACGTTCATTCTAGTAAATCGCTTATTTTCAGTTTACAGAGAATGCGTACTGGTTCAGACGTAATCGAAGTGGTTGGGCAAATCGAAAATCACTAATAAATATGTTACTACCTTTCCAGAGGAACGTAATGCTTATTCAATGCCGTGAGATTTAATATGCGCATAAACTCGTTATGTTTTGTACATGTGTACTTCAAATATATGTGATGTAGTGTAAAGATTCTACAGCGTGAGCGATCTCGATGCACAATATTATTAAATATGTTTTACATAAAATGGTAAAGAAACGTGTTGTTTGAAAGTAAGATTTAACAATTCTTTGCTCTTTAACTGAAGATTTTTTCTGTTAAGACTTTGAACAGAATTTGCATTTTAAGCCGTCTCAAACTCAGTGTCCCTGTCCTCGTTTCATACGCAATTCTTTCCACATTATTACTATCAACAAATGGCAGTGACCATTTTGGGGCGCCGAGCAAGTTTCATTTTAATATAAGAACAAAGCTTGTAATTCTCTATCTGTTATCTGTTACCCGGGGTATAAATACAAAGAACACGGAATCTGTTGTAAGTAAAAGGCCTTTCCGTGTCTTGCATAATTGTCTTCGGCACTGTCCACTTTCTGACGCATATTTCGTGCAGATGTACATCACCGCCACAGCTCATAAAATTATATACACACTGTCTCGTGTAGTAGATATATATGATATACTTTGCATACAAAATATAACACAGGCAGTGGACAGACTCCAATGTAAATAACTCTGCGGAGATAGGACTTTCTTTAGAAGGATCGCCCTGATGATGGAGGTAGTAAGTACCTGTGAAACGTCGATCATACTACGTGGCGCACCGTCACAGAAGACAGTCTTATTTATCTTCAGTTTTGATCATAAGCTGTTTTGTTACTAGTTTAGGTTAGGTTAGCGGTGACATCTTTCACTTCACCGTACGATCTCCCCAAAACATTCATTCTTTTAAGCGTTTAAAGGTTTCTTATCTTCGAATCATAATTTATGTGACAAATGTCTATGTTACAAGGCTATAAATTTAAATATTTACCGCTATTCTGTACTAGAAAGGAGAATGTCAAGTCACAGGACACCCGACTTCCGAGAAAATGAAAAGGGAGCTCGTAGGGTCGTATATAAAAAGACAAACTCTTCCTTGACAGAGAGGAGTCTGTGCGACCTCTGACAGGTTCTGACCTTCAGTAGCGCGTATATTGTCAATGTATTTCGCAGACAGCAAGTGTATGAATCTGTCTCCCACCATATAAATCGATTCGAATGGATTTAGTGCAAAAAGGAGCTGAAGGTGAGAATATTTCCTGATTATTAAGAAATGACCCATTACTGCACACTACATTGTCTGTCTGTCACTTTCACCTGCAGAATCAGTCGAACATTCTCGTAGATACAATATTGACCGCGACTTCAGTCCTACCAACTTCCGATTCTCACAAAGTTATTTACCCAAGTTGCAGTTGGACCAAAATGTAAACATTCGACGGTACGTAATCCATGAAGGTGATATGTATGGTAAAATATGTAAATATGACGTAACAAAAAAACTTCAATCTTCCACGAATAATCTTTCAGAAGCCCAGTTTTCCAACGAAATTTTTGTTTTTGTTTCTATTTCAGCAGGGGCAGAGTTGTAAAGAAGACATTAAGACGTTTTGAGGGAAATATGTTTCAAAAGAGTAAATTCGACTGTGTCAGGTTAAGGTGACATGAGTCCCGAAATTTTGGTAAAGAAAAAGAATCCTCGAAAAGTTCTCACAAATCATGTGTAGCCTACTTATTTCTTCAAACTTTTATACGAATTCGATTATTCAATTTACCCATAAAATAAAGGCTGAACTGATAGGTTTTATAAATTGCAATCAGCGTGAATTATAGACTGTAGAGTAGCCATCGTATCTCGTTTCAAATTTTTGGAATTGTACCCATGTACCTTGATATCGGAATTATGTGCTTTGATTCAGCGACCGCGAGCCGCCCATGTCTACGGAAGGAAAAAGTGATTCTCAGAGTTGTATTGGGTCAAATTCGATGCCATTTATTAGACTTCAGACTAGTAACAGGATCTAATTCCTTGAAATCAAAGAATGAAAATCTAAAAAATGAAATTCCGAGCGTCGTCCGTTCCGCTGGAACAGATTCCAGACAAACTTCCACGCGAAGGATTTGTATCAGTGGTACCTCCTAAGTCCTTTATTGAATATCCGCCATTGATTAAAGTAGTTAAGTTAGGACGTTAATCTTTATATTAGCAATGGATTCCGACTGCTAAGGAAAATGCTGGTTTCAGTTGCTGACAGTTTTAAATGTTTAATTCCTTTAAAGTCAGCCACTGTTCTCAACACGTTATATTGCAAGCAGTTCCTTGCTTGAAACTTCTTTCTTTCTCTCTCTCTCTCTTTTTTCCCTGTCTGACGACAGGTCCATATGAACAGGATCCTTCCATCCTTTCTCGGACTGGGACCTGTTCATATTCGTTCTTCGCAGATGATCCAGAAGTGGTTTGCCATTGCCTTCTTCTGTGTGTGAATGGAGTAATTGTTGGGATGCCACGGAGAAACCGGGGAAGCCCCCGGAGGAAAACTCC